GACGCGGGGCTCGAACTCCCGGACCGCGAGATCGTGACCTGGCTGAAGTGGGACGCTTAACCGACTGCGCCACCCAGGCGCCCCTAGGCTGAGTGTTTTCGACCAGAACAGGGCTTGGCAAACGTTTTCTTTAAAGGGTCAGAGTAAATATTTTAGGGTTTGTGGGCCTGTAGTCTGGCTGATTTATTCAACTCTGATGTTCTGGTGCTAAAGCAAACATTGACAACAGATGAGCAGGAGTGGCCGTGTCCCAGCAAAGCCTTATTTATGGACACTGAAATTGGAATTTCAAAATTGTCACGTCACAAAACAATCTTCTTCTTTTGATTTTACTTCCAACTATTTTAAAGTGTAAAAACCAAGCTTGCAGCCTTTATAAGAGCAAGTGATGGGCCAGATTTGACCTGTGGGCTGTAGTTTGCCAGCCTGTGAACTAAGAAATCAGAGTTGACATCTGAATTGAGACCAAAATGAGACATGGAATCAGTCAGGTGAGGCACTGGAGGAAGGGCATGGCAGGCAGGGGAACCAGCAAATACAGAGGCCCTGAGCCAGGAATGAGCTTTGTGATTTGGAGAAACGTAAAGGAAGCCTGTGGGGTTGGAGTGTGCTGAGGGCCAATCAATCCTTTTCCTGGAATTAAGCTCTGAGATTTGTACATAAGGAGCATTCAACAACAGAATAATCAATGTCTTCAGTGTGTAGCAGAATTCCCTCTGCCTGATGCATAATTACGGCCTCTAAGTCTCACACTGTGTAACCCTAAGACAGCCACTCAACTCTAGACTTCCAGAATCCTTATTGCCAAAATTTAATTAGAGACAGACTTTCTTCTAAAATTCCTCGATGTTATGTTTCATTATTATACTAAAGTGAATTAAAACAAATTCTGTTTAGACTTCAAGCTTTTTATTTTTCGTGAAGTTCCTTGAGGTACCTGGAAATACTTTGAGTGTTAAAAATACTCAAAGTATTTGAGGGGGCACCTGGGTGGCTCAGTCGGTTAAGTGTCTGACTCTTGGTTTTGGCTCAGGTCATGGTCTCATGGTGCATGAGTTCGGGCCCTACATCAGGCTCTGTGCTGATAGTGCAGAGCCTGCTTGGGATTCTCTCTCTCTACCCGTCTCCTGCTAGCTCTCTCTCTCTCTCTCTCTCTCTCTCTCTCTCAAAATAAACAAATAAACTTAAAAAAAAAAAAAAAGTCTGCCTCTAAAAAAAGAAAATCCAATCTTGGAGATCCTTGGACTTCAGAAATACAGTTTATGCTTTATAATTAATTTAAAATTAACAACTCACCTTGGTTCTTGATGAATTTAGTGGTTCCCCCCTCTCCCAAACTCTCTAGTCTTCTGGGACCACCCTTCTAATAACCAATTCAGATGTCCAGAGTCTTTATCTCATCTAGGGAATCCTAGGGTGTTTACCTGTGCTCACCCCAACAGCTCTGATTCCTGGGTTGGGGAGACACCCTGTTGTTCTTGTGACCCAGCCCAAGCAGCGGCCGACTTCACCATCTCATCTGGGCATGTGAGTCATTGCCCATGGCTTTTCGCAACAGCTCTTGGTAATGGATTCACTGTGCCTTGAAAATGCTCCCCTGCTTCTTCCATTTCTCCGAAGTGCCACCAACACAATGTTGTTGTGTGTAAAAGTCTTTTACTGGAGGATTAGAGGTAATGGGGGCCGATTCTAGCTTAGTGAAACTTGAAGTCCAGATAGATCCTGAACATGATTGTTCTTGAAGTCCCACTGACATCCCACTGATGAGCAATTTCAAATGCCTGAACAGAGTGACAGAGGGAGTCTTCCGGGATTTCAGAGGGAGAAATTACTGATGACTGAGGAGACAAGACAAGGCGTTAAGAAAGAGGAAATGTTTGAGGTCGTTTTTGAAGGTAGGATTTCAGAGCGGAAGAGTTAGGGCAGAGGCATTCTGGCTGATAAGAAGGGCGCACGTGAGAGAAGATTTGGAGAACGTTTGGGGTGCATATGAGAAAGGAGAAGTAGTTGGTTTGGCTCAAGTACAGGAACCTGGTGCTAATCAATATGGCTGAATAATGATTGTTACCGGTAGTAAGAAAAGAGAGTCAAATATATTTCAAGTTGTGAGACTATTTAGTAACTAAGTGAACTGGAAGAAAAGCTTATTTTGTGACCTTAACTATTAAAAAATAACCTGCATTTTAATAAGTTCCCAGGTGATGCTGGTGCTGTTGGTCTGGGGACCACACTGATGACTTACAAACAAAGCCTCAGATGGCTGGCATCTGTGATTTGCCTGTGTGTAGCATAGCATCTCATAGGTAGGAGGTGCTTCATGAATGGTTATTGAATGAATTAATGAACACAGGAAGGAGGTCCTGACATCAAAGATACTTTCGACTATCACATACCAGTGCAAAAGCTTTTATTTGTTTATTTATTTACTGATTTATTTGTTTATCATATTTCTTCATTTATTTATTTTTTGCAGATGACTCTGTTTCATGGGTCAGTGCAGAAAACTTATGGATTTTGGGCAGATATATGGTTCACCTATCATTTGAAGAAGTTACGAAAATTAGTCCTGTAGAAGTAAGTTGGAAAAGTACATTTACATGTCCCCATCACCAAGCCATCTGGGGAAAGGTGTATTCTAAACCTGTCGTGTTTAGCCAGCTAGTCCAGGTGCCCTGGAAGATTGGGTACCCACCTCAGCCAATATATCTTGAGCCTCTAGAGAAGACTCTCATGTGGTTGGTCATCAGATTGTGTTTAGTGCAGAAGGGCCAAGAAAAGAATTGCAGACAACCAAGATAGCTCTGATGTGAACAAACATGGTATAAAAAAAATGTTGGCTGTGAACCAAAAGTCATTTTAGGGTATTTAAAGGCCAAGGACGACAGCTATAGAGTTTCCAGTTCTTTGAAGCGTGAACTCCAATCAAATGAAACATAGATTACTAGCAACTTGTATTTATAGCTACTTCTACTGATTGCTACTTCAGCATGAGCAATGATTGGATTTTAACTATAGACTTTACAGTTGAGAAATATGTAAGTTCTAAGGTTACTTAGCTCACTGGTCAGCCTGTCTCTGTCTTCCTGATGTTAACCCAATGACACTAAAACCCCTGGGCATCATGATTCTGGAAAGCAGTCTCCAAAACACGCTGCCAACAGAGAGGCATTCATAAAGACTTTGGGGCTTGCCTCCAGTTTTTATCTTGTGTGCCTTGACTTTCTTCTGGCCAGTGAGAGAAGTGTTTGTATCAGATGGCTGGCTTGTTCAAGGGCCAATTGACCCAACGATGTCTGGTTATTATGAAACTGGAGGCAGAGCCAAGTTTTTCTTTTCAAAAATTTTTGAAAAATTTTTTAACTGCAGTGTGGTTGACATATGTAGGTTCCTCTTTTTACCTAGGAGGCTGAGAATACTTCACATAAATTTTTATTTATTTATTTACTTATTTGTTTATTATTTTTGAGAGAGAGACACAGAGTGTGAGCAGGGAGGGGCAGAGAGAGAGGGAGACACAGAATCTGAAGCAGGCTCCAGGCTTGGAGCTGTCAGCACGGAGCCCGACGTGGGGCTCAAACCCACAAACTATGAGATCATGACTGGAGCTGAAATCGGATGCTCAACCAACTGAGCCACCCAGGTGCCCCTAACTTTCAATTTATAATCTTCAGTTATCAAATGGATTAAACCTCGCTTTTACTCTCCCAATATTGAGTGAATTTCCAGAAGTTAGATAGAGATTAAATTTTTATGGAAGCTGGGCCCCTGGGGAGGAATTTCTAAGATCAAGAGGCCATTTGCAACTTTTCTTCATCATCTAAAAGTGTAGAGAAGAGAGGCAAAGCCACAGAGGACCAGCACGAAGGGGGAATTTATCTGGAGAAAGAGTAGAATCCTCAAGGGAGAGACAACTTTATAAGCACAGAGTAGCAGTGCATAGAAAGATAAGACTTCAGCTTGACACCCTTGGACACATAGGCAGAAAATGAACAAGAACAGAAAGAATCTGAATGGTATATGTAATAAAGTTGAATCTATTTATCTATATCTTTCTATATATTTGTATCTTACCGTGGGAACACACACTCTTTTTCATCACCTGAGGCCCATTTGTAAACTCATCTACTTAAAAAAAACCTGATTCCCCAAAGTGAAACATTTGTGGACCACATTCTCTGACCTCCATATAACAAATCTACAAATAAGGGTGCAAATATTAGCTTTCAAAGAGTTCAACTGCTCCGATATTAAAATATAATACTTTCCTAAATAGCATTTGGGTTGAAGAGGAAACCAAAACAGTTGTTACAGACTGTTGAGAAATCAATGACCACAGGAACTGGGCATCTTGGAATCTCTGTGATGGGGTGCAGTGTGGACCGCAAGGGTGGGGCTGTTTGGGGTGACGTCAACCCCCTTCCTGTCCTTGTCTACCAGATTGGGCTGTTTATCAGCTATGACAATGCCACCAAGCAGCTGGACACAGTTTATGACATCACCCCTGACCTGGCCCAGGCGTTTCTGGAGAGGATCAGCTCCTCCAGCTTTGACATGAGGAATACCTCCACCATCCACAGGCAAGGGGTGGGGGCTCTGGGTCCTCGCAGCTCTTTCCCAAGATGTGATCTAAGCACCAGCTTCCTCTGAGCAGCAGAAGACCCTGGGAGGGAAGGGAGGTGGCTGGTCTATCTCTTTATATAGCCCCATGTCTTTGTGCATGTGACGGGAGGCGTTTCCCCAAAGAAACACCCTTTGAAAGGGTTGGGAGGTGGGGTGAGGTAGAACAAATGCTTTCTGAGCATCTCCTGTGCCAGGCGTTTAATGCAACCTTATCAAGTGCTAAGATTCCAGCTGTGGGCATAGAAATAGAATATTTTAAATACTCAGTACTTGGTCTATTCCAAGGTAAACGTGTGGTTTCCATGAGGGTGGGTAAAGTATTAGAAATAGCTTTTGGCTCCCCATATTTGTGAACCTCTTGTTATCCAGCTTCTCGGGTGGGGAGTCCACAGATGATGTCAGCTCTAGAATTTAGTGATTGCAACATGATCCTCCAGGAATGCTTTCCAGCAGAGGCAGGCCTGGAGCTATGTACTTGGTGACCCCAGAAAGGATTTGAATGTTAGCCAGAGGGAGCATGCAATGGGGAGTGCTGTTCAACCATCTCTCCGTCTCTCAAGGACGCATGTCACAGTGCTTCCCCTGACGTCACTGTATTATGTTAAGTTTTATCAGAGTCGCTTATAGGGAATGTTCTTATATGAAACTATTACACCTTCTTCCCCCATCCTTACTAATTTTTATCCATTAGCTGGGGTCCCCTTTTTAGGGGTACACAAAAATAGCTTACTGGTTAAGAACATGGGACCTGGAGCCAGACTTCCTGGGTTTAATTCTGGCTCTGCCACTTACGAGTTGCGTGATTTTGGCTGTGTTACTTTACCTCTCTGTGCCTCCACTCCCCCATCTGTAAAATGGGAGATAATAACCTGCCTCCCTTTTCAAGGTCCTTGTAAGGCTTACGCACACCTGACACATAGTAAGTGCTCAGGATAGTAGTACTTCAGCCTTCACTTCCCTTGAGTATTCTTTTCTCATCTGACACATTTTCAAATCCTTCCTGACCCGGTTGCTCTTCTGTGGACATGTCTGAGCATGTCGCTGTCTTTCTAAGAGGGTGGATCCAGGTTGAGCATGGTCAACCAGGTGGTCCAGCCATGCTGAATTGAATAGATTTAATACTAACTCTACGAGCATCCATTAATGAATCAGTGCCTGGTGTCTACCGGGAAGGATGCTAATCAAGTGGTATGGCTCTTCCCATTGAACTCTCACAGTACTCCTGATGCCTACATTCATCATATTTATTGTGATGTGCTGTGATGAACAAAGCCAACCTCCCTTTTATTAAAGGCTCAGAGAGACAGGTCCACCCTGTACAGTAGTGCACCGTGTGCACTGTTCAACTGTGCAGCGGCCTTGCAGAGAAGTTAAGTAATTTGTTGGCTCAAACATCCCATACAGCTGCGCTTCAAACTCTTGTTGGCCTAAATCTATGCTCTTAACCACAAAATACAGCACCCCCAGCTAGACCAGGGTTCACATCCCCCTTCCGCCCTTACATTGTTATGCTTCCTTTTTCTTTCCTTTCTGGCGGTGTAGGTCATAAACCATCTTGGAAATACATCTGCCTCAGAGAATCCCTCAGGGTGGACAAACCCTTTATCTCCGTGTGGAAAATGGGGAGTTTTCTGTGGCTAACTCAGGACCACACTTTCCTTGTGCCCCTTACTGCCTCGGGAAGAGAGAGCATAGTTGGATGGGTCTCGATTTAAGTCCTGGGGCCACGTCTGGTCTTGGGCCAGTCACTTGACCATGCTGAGTCTGTCTGCCTTTCTGTGAAATGGGGCTCAGAGCATCTGCCTTGTAGGGTTGCTGTGATGGGGTAATCCAGGTACAGGGTTCAGCACAGTCCCTGGCATGTGATAGCTGCTCTGACCGTGACTCTTGGCTCTGTGTGGGAGAGGGCTGTGGTTGTGACCCCCAGCTCTGAGCCCCCTGCCAGCACCCTTATCTTCCCACACAGGCTGGGGCTGCTGGTCTGTTTCTACCATGACCTGGATTTGCTGGATGCCGCAGTGGCTCAAGTCCTCCTTCACCAGATGATCAAGTGCAGCCATCTGAGGGGCTTCCAGGCTGGGGTTCAGAAGGTGCGGATGGGGCAGGCTGGGGAAATGGCTGGAGAATTGGGGAGCACAGTCCTGCCTGGCCTTCGAGAAAAAATATGTGGGGTTAATCGGGATCTGGGTCCACCCACAGCAGATGGCATCCCATCCCAAATCCTGGGATGAGCTTCAACAGTATCGGGGAAAACCCAGAATAGATCAGAATTCAGAGTGGCCACCTCGAGCTTAACTGTGCATAAGGATCGCCTGGGGATCCTAAATGTGGCTTGTGTTTCAGTGGGTCTGAGCAGAGCCCTAAGTGGAGGGAGACTGCACGTCTAACAAGCTTCCAGGCGATGCTGAAGCAGCTGGTCTGGTGACCGTGCTTAGAACAGCAAGGAGATAAAAGCAAGGTTCTCAAACCTGGCTCTGCATTAGCACTCGGCCAGCTCCATGCCTGGAGATTCTCCAGGTACTGGTCAGAGGTGTGGCCTGGGAATGGTATGTTTTAAAAGTTCCTCACATGATTCTAGTGCAGCCTTGTTTGAGATGCCTGGATTAGAATGTGTTTGTTGAGTTCCTAGACCAAAGCTCTGCACAAACTGACACAGGCTGTTTCTCATGTCCTCTCACCCTCCATCTCTCCTTTCTTCCTTTAAAGTCTCAATTCTGCCCTGCTTCTCTCACTTTTTTGGCCCTTCTCATTTTTTTTTTTTTTAATGGAAAAGATGACATGAGAACAACATTAAAGAAAAGGTTGATAAAACCATCAATAATTCCACAGCAGGTTTTCACATGTAACTACAAAATCCCCAATCCCATTTGACATTTGACAACAGTCATCATTATCTTGATCAGAGCATATTTTTAAAATTAATTAATTAGTTTTTTTAATCTTTATTTTTGAGAGAGAGACACACACACACAGAGTGCGAGTGGGGGAGGGGCAGAGACAGAGGGAAACACAGAATCCGAAATAGGCTTCAGGCTCTGAGCTGTCAGCACAAAGCCCCACGCGGGGCTGGAACTCACAAACTGCGAGATCATAACCTGAGCCGAAGTCAGACACTTAACTGACTGAGCCACTCAGGTGCCCCTTATTTATTTTTATATTTTTAAGGTTTTGTTTTTAAGTAATCTCTACACCCATCTTGGGGCTCAAACCCACAGCCCTGAGATTAAAGAGTCGCATGTTCCACAGACTGAGCTAGCCAGGCGCCCCTGGTATCCCTTTTAGTTTAAAAATATTCTAATGTGAATTGCTTATAGTATTAGCCTTGAAGTGGCTGTAAAATAACAATTTCATACCATGTTTAATAGCTAACTGCGTTTTGGGAACTGGATAAAATGGAATTCTATGATGGTGTCTTTGTAAATCCCATCAGTTTGTGGTATGAAACTTGTCGGTGATGTAATAATGAATGTGACTTACTTTTATTAAGTATATAGAAACTTCAGAATGTTGTATTCTTTTAAGAATATTACCATGAGATGCTTTATCTAACAGTTTTGTCAGTGGTCAAATACTTTTGATTGCCTCTATGTTCTTAATGCGTTTTATGAATCAAACAATATTTTTAGCAGTAATCTTTGTAAATAGTCAAAATTAATCTTGATTATAGTTTTAGTTAAAGAAAAAGCTAGTTTTGTACTAAATTGTGCATTTTTCTTTTGGGTCTCAAAAACTTTTTTTGTGGAGATTGTGTAGTTATTTTCATTACTGAAATATACTTGATAATTAAGTAAAGACAAGACCTACAGTTTTTACATTGAAGCTTGTGGAGATTGTAGAAAGGACGAGTTCTTCATGGCCTCTTTCAGAGTTTATTTGCTTTTACTTTACATGATTTACACATTGCCAGCAATAGAAAGGCAAAACTTTTAGAGGCAAACACAATGACAGCAGTGAGAAATAAAAATAGCATGACAGAAAGTTAAGAGATGAGAGAATTACAAAAAACAGACATGAGAACTAAAGAATATTTCATTTGGCTTTTAGTTACAATTCTATGCCTTAGTAGACCGAATCATTACTATTTCATAGCACAGTGTTGTTAGTTGATGTGCTCATAATAGTGACCTAAGACAAAGTTAAATTGCTTTTTATATTTTTTGAACTGTAGGTCATGACCCCTTAATAAAGTGTAAAATCACTCTAGTGGGTCATGACAAGCATTTTTAGAAAAATGAAAAAGAGTAGAAGATACTAGAATGCATTGCATCGTTAACTTCTGAGTTAACGTATATATACTGTATTACAATGTACAATGTAATACTTTGTTGATGTCACTGATTAGAGACATTGAGATACAGTAAAAGGATTGAGGAAGGGTTTTGTAGTTATATCTAAGCTGGGGTTGCCAGAATTAGCAAATAAAAATATAGGATGCTCAGCTGAACTTGTATCAACAGTGACTAATACTAAAGTATAGTGTGTCCCACATTGCATGGGACAAAATTATTCATTTATCTGAAATTCAGATTTAATGGGGCATCCTTTATTTAATCTGGTAACTTCAGTCTAGGGTAGAATCAGGGCTTACCCCTTGGTAACTAAAATTTAAGCTCTGTGTGGGCAGAAACTTGATTTTGTTTGCTACTGTGTACCAATCTTCTGGAGCAGTGCTTGGCTGTGGGTGAGGTGTTTGAATGATTGGGGCAAGTCACTCACTCTTGTGCTCTGTTTCTTTATTAAAAGGGGAAAAGAGTACCTTAAAAAGTGAGATTACTAAATTTCTGTTACATTCCATTCTTGGTACATAGTAAACTCTTAGTATGTTTGTTTGTTTGTTTGTTTGTTT